CCCCCTCCCCCTTACGAACCCTACCACACCCCACGTACCTGTGGCACAACCTCTATCACGGTGACTCCTCTCTTCCATCCAGCACCACCTGCACCCTGTCCCCTACGTGACCACGCCCATTCCACCAACTACCTCCACCGTCCCCGCACCCCGCACCCGAACTTCCCCCTTTTTCCACCAGCACCTCAGCGACCGCCTCGTGCCCCACTCCAGCCAAATGAAATCCAAATCGATTCGCAACACGGGCGGTTGCCCAGGCCGGCCGAGGTGCGGCCGAGATAGCCAAGGCCGGCCGAAGGCCAGCCGAACCGAGCCGAGCTTTAGCAGTTGCCGCCAATATGACCCAAGTGTTGGGCTACAGCGTATGGATCATTCTTGCTAATAGTGATCTGCGAGTTTAGTGCAAAAACGCATGATCGCATCAGAGAGCCGAATGCGTTTCAGCCTGGGTTCATAATTCTTGTTTTTAAGCTGTAAATAATTTGCAGGTTCGTTATTTTACGCGCAGTTGGTGGATGCACCAGAAAAAAGTCGAGCATATAGTTTATTGAACTGTGAAGTCCGAGTACATATACACGTTAGCTTATTCTTCACTTTACTTTTTCAGTGAATACCCAAGCAGTGTCAAAACAGATTTCTCAATTCCAAGTGTTTAAGAGTAGCAAAAACTCACACATTTCATGATCAGTTTTAATGGTGACTTATATACAGGATGGCCGCATTGCACTTGTTGCATGCTATCCGCAGCGTTTGATCGGATTTTGGTTTTTGAGTAATATCGTTCAAGTTGGATTTGCCGGCAACAAAATGCAGATTCTTGCTAACGACCAAAATGGTGTGGATGATGGCGTGTACTCGCTCGTTTGTGGCCCCATACAGCTCTTGGAAAAACATTACAAGCTAGCCACACAACCGGTAAGCAAAAGCTGTCATCCTTGAAGAATCGAGGTAGTAGAAACGTTGTTGTTTCTCATAGAAACCCAGGCTGGAACGCACCGGGCGGGCCCGTGCGATCATGCGTTTTTGCACCGGACCTGAAGTA